TGGTCATCATAGAGAACTGTAAGGTAATGATAACGACACACAAAATGCTACTGGTTACTCTAGGCAGAATTTCTGTTAGCATCCAGGGCTGACTTAGTTCTACCTCCACATGAATGATGGTGGCCCCAGCCCTCTACCCTCCTTCTCCCAGTGTCTCAAGGGTATGAAGATCTCCCTGGGAATTTGAAACCTTATCTATATTAAACATATTCAGGATTTTATACCGAGGAGATGTTACTAGGTAGGAATTCAGTGAATATCACATCTGTAGCCTTGTCATTTTATACTCTTCTAGAAAATGAAGGCTAAAAAGGGTTCAAAGGCTTCTACGTTACATTTTGAACAGCCCAGCACCTTTCTTCTAAAAATAAATACACAACTTAAAAATAAATAATTAAGTGGGTTCAAACCAGCAGCTTACATTGCTTATGAGGATATTCACACATGATCAGCTGTTGAAAGAGTTGCAGTTCAGCTGTGCTGAGCTAAGGTTTAGTGACAGGGGCACCCAGGGATCAGACTCAAAGGCTGAACCTTAGTCTTTTCCTTAGTGAACAAGAAATGGGTATGGAAACATCAGACTAGATGACAAGGAGAGATAATACATAGTACCAAAAGTCTTGAATGCTTTCCAGCAGCATGGAAGACTGGTATGGCCAATCTTTAGGCCAAGATTCAATGAAGAACATTAAGAAAAATTGTAAGTTCATTCTCACTTGGCAAAGTACGTCAGTTTATGCTTATCTTTAACCTGTGACTATTGAAGATAGTAAAATTTTTGCATGCACTTAAAATTAAGCAAGAACTTTATCATTTTGTTTTGCTGGGTAGAAAGTAGCCTGGCCTGCCATGGCCAGGGGAGGCTGTTTTTATATAAGGCTGCATGACAAGGTAAAAAACAAGGAAAACTTTTTGAAGAAGATTTCCTTATCTTCACTTCCCACTCCATATCCTCCCACCTTCCTAAATTACCCTTTTTACATCTCAACTGATGGAAAGACAAAGAAACCACTGTAACTGAGTAAAGCTGCAGAGTGTAGCAAAAATTGCAAGGGGCAAGACTGATAAAAGCAAGTCTGGTCCAGCTTGAATATATAAGGCAAAATAAGCAAAAGAAAGCTAAAAATGTACATTGACAATGAAGGACAAAGAGTATTATAAGCGTCATTGCTGCAGTCTGTTAAAGCATTTGCAGCAGACAAAAGATACAAGAAGAATTGACAAGTAGAATTAATAGAAGAGGAAAAAATAAAAAAAATAGCAAAATTATTAAATTAGTTTTTTCATAATTATTTTAAACAGTGGAGCATGTGCCCTAGTATTCTAAGAGTTAGGCACTTGTATACATCTTTCTCATTGTTTTGAATGAAGCTCAAGCATATGATTAAAAGTCTTTCCTAAATAAGAGTATTTTTATGAAATCAGGCTGAAGACAGGAATGGAGAGCTCCTCAAACAGGAATCACATTTCCAGACATAGGTCCAGGTTCAACCATGTGTGTATGTGATGCTATATTTGAAAATAGTGTATGCATGTATCGCAGAGAGAGTACTTAATGTGCTCGAAGTTGGCAGCATGCTTGAGCACCCTGCTAGATTGTGATGAGAGAGAAAAGGTAAAAGCTGTAAAGGAGAAAGAAAACACCTGTGAAAGGTTTAGGCATTTTTCCAGATTGCTAGTACACTGTAGTGAGCTTACTATTAATGCTGTAACTTGTCATGTAAACCCTTCAGAACAGAATTCTGCTCACATATCTGATACGACTTTGAAATTCAGACTTCAACATTTCCAGGTCCAGGTAACATTTAAAAAATAATAACTAATAGAATTATTTGCTTTTATTTTTCTGAGGGAAGGGAGATAGGGGATAGGCAGACAGTTTGACAGCAGGTAAGAAGCCCTACACTCTAGATTTTCAGGAAATTAAAACCTAAGCTTTAGAAAAAAAGCTTAATTTAAAAAATCACTCATTCACCACTCTTAAGAAATATAGTGAGAATATATTTGGTTTTAGTAAATGAACAGCTTGAAAGGAATGACTGTTTTGGGGACAGAAAATACTAACTTATGGAGGTCTTGCTGTAAGGATTAAGTGTAATACTTTGACTATTGTCATGGTCCTATAGAAAATAATGAGAAATAGAGGAAAACGTTAGAAGTATGCATTAAAAAGTTTAATTTGATTCCTAAGTTAACCTTTTTTAAACTGAAGAAGCTCAGCTATCTTTTTTATCTCTCTCTTTCCTTGTTTTGCTGTAGAGTCAAGATCTGCAGAACCTTTTAGACACTATACAGTTTCAGCTTTTAAATTATTTTTAATTTTAATTTTTTTATAGGCTTTATATCATTATTCACTCAGTCTAGATATATGACAAATCTCAAATAAAGAAGGTGTTCATGGCTTTCTTGGTCTTATACTGCCATTTGGACAGTGTTCAAGTTTAGCTGAATATTAAAACCTTAGGAGGATTATCCAAATGATATCTGTAGATCAGTGGTTTTCAACCTGTAGTCTGCCATCTGGGAATCTGGATTATTCCTGAGTGATCTGTAAAAATTGACTAAAATCCCAGTGGCTTAA